GTTGCTCACTTCTCCCTGGCTCTCTTTGTTCTTCTCTGTGGTTGCTTTACCCTGTGTTTCCTTGTTTGCTTCTCACCCTTCCAGTTTCTTCTCTCTGTTTCTCTTTGCACCTGTGTCTCCCCTTGGCCCTTGGAGTGTCCTTTATTCCTGCATGACCTTCTGCCCTTTGTGGGTTTTACACCTCATCTCCATCCCAAATCTCTGCCTCCATGTCCAAATCTCTTACGCGGCAAGAGTCCTTGTAGCCCTCACCACCAGCACAGAACATATTGTCGGAATAGGACGAGTTAAGCACGGATCTGCAATACTGCTCAGAAACCACAGGAATAAATGCACACTGCAGTTCCAAAGGGTAGGTGCCTGAAAGAAAGGACACAGGGTCAGAAACACTCCTGGGCAGAGACAGCCACAGGATTCAGTGAGTCTAAGGACAGAAACACCCAAACTCACCATCCAAAAGCTGACCCCAGCCAGAGATCCAGCACCTGCTTCCAGGTGTTGGACATTGGGATGCAATGGGGATGGTCCGGACGGTGTCTGATTCCACAGCTGGTCTGTCCAACTTGATGAGCATAAGGTCACTACCATTCCTAGGTGTGACGTACTGTGGGTGCTGCACGGAGAAACTGGCCTCGATAATCTGGCTGCCTGGTTTAAACCAACCGAAAACTCTGTGCAGGCCCAGCACAATGGTGTAGGATCTGAGGGTGATGGGATGGTCAGTACCATAATAACTACACCCTCTGTAGAAGCCCAAACTCCAATGTAGGTCCAGTTCCAATCATAGCCTCACACCCAACTCATGCTCAACCTCAGTCCCATCCCCACTGCCATTCGCACCCACACCATGCCTAGACCCATCCTTGGGGCCAGCCTCATCCCCACTTGGACAGCGTTCAAATCCCATCCCAATCTCCATCTGCAAATAGACCCAGAACCTGACTATTACAGTTGAGGCAAGAGAAGCATTGTCTAAGGTGTTAACTGAGGGAGCCACTAATGTAGAAAACACAAGATGAATAGTGGCTCAGTGTAATATTTTTAATTTCAAAATTAATGCCACATGTCCACGATGCACAACATATCAGAAATTGAAGGGAAGACAGCATTTGAGGTGCACCTTGCCCTCGCCCTGGCCCCACACCCGCAGGATCCTGTTTATTTCAAATGTGGATATTTTGTTCATCATGGATATTTGCATTGTATTAATTTGTTTAAAACAAGACATTAAGATATTTCTCCCAATGGGTGAGCTTTAGCATCATCTCTCCCTATACCCTGCCCTGCAACCAAGTGCATACCTTGGTCCCCATCTACCTGGCTCTGTCCTCACTTGTCTCCCTTGCCTTTCCCCAGGACCCTTACACCCGGTGACAAGAGGTCCCTTGTCCACACCACCTGGCTCCTAGAGGCTGAACTGAGATCCAAGCCTGCCTCTCTCAAGTCATCTCCTCCTCTGCACTTTCAAACCTGGGTCAACCCCAGGGTCTTGTGTGGTTTCCTTTCCCACACGGGGGATCCTTCAGACCCAACAAAGAGATGTGAATGTTCCTCCAGCCTGGGGAAGTGGATCTCCCAGCCAGGCCTCCCCTTTGACTGTAGCTGCAGCCTTGCTCCAGGCCTAGTGTTTTAAAATCTCAACCCTGGCCAAGTCCAGCCTGTGGGGCTGGGGCTCACTCCCTGGCCCAGCCCCTCTGCAGTGCTGGAACCCCATCCTGGGCCAAGACTCACCCTCTCTGCTCAAACTCAGCCTAGGCCCTGCCCCTCAGTGCAGTGCAATATCAGACCCTAAACCCTGCCTACAATGTCCGCCCAAGAGAAGACACACCTCACACCTCCCAGTTCAGGGCACTCCCCCGCCCCCCATCCCTGCAGTAACCCCTACTGCACTTGCTCACGGTTTCCAGCAGTGCGCAGCTGACAGCACCCACTGCGGATGCACCAGAACTCCAGAACAGAATGGCTCATAATCGTCAAACAGTGCGGCTATCCAGGGCTGGGAGTGTGGAATGCAAGTAAAGCCATCAGAGATGCGTTTGCTGACCAGACGGCGTGCATTTGGGAAATGACTGCTATTTCCTTTGGGAGGAATCTCTGCTTCTGTGGGCAGGAGGAACACAGAGTGGATGGGTGGATGGGATCCAGTAATGTATCCGGTAGTGTATCAGGTAGGGCTCCAGAGGGTCAGTATTAGGAAGGCCCAGGTTACATCAGGAGTGCCACAGAGGGGCAATGTCTGAGGTTCTGCCTCTGAGGCTCAAGCAGGACAGTTCCAAGGACAGATACCTCCTCTGGGCCTAAAGCTTCACATTCTGCTCCACCACCCCAGTGGCATTGACCTAGTGTCACCACACATGGCCCTTCCCCAGCAGGAGCCTCTCTGTCGAGCAGAAGACAGAGGCAACTGCACCTGGGATTGTGTCTGCTGGACATGCAGGGTTGACAGCAGGGCACAGAGAACAGTCCCTCTGGGAACACTTCTTACCCTGCCTGGACCCCAGCCCTCTGCAGGGTCTCCTTCCCCAGAGGCTCAGGTGTGGTGACCTCCACAGGGGAGTGGGCAGCTGCCACACTTTTCTGCCAGCTGGGGAAGGAGGCCCATGCACAGTGCTGTCCCTGTGTGAATTAGAGCTAGCATCTGCACACTCGCCTATTGGCCAGAGTCTGGGGAGAACGAGCGTTTACACTGTATTATGTAATCCGCCTTCAGACTATGGTGGGAGGTGGAGATATTGAGGCACAGAGACATTAGGACTTTGCCCAGTGAGAAGTAGCACAGCTGGGCTCTGAATCCAGTTGCTGCCTCTCCACAAGCTGTGTTTCTACCCTGGTGCCATGCAGACCCCCAGATGGCCAATGGGCATGGCAGGATTATGCATTTTGGGTGAACACAGGTTAGCACGCACCCCAAACTCAGATACCTGCAGCTGTGTGGATGATGCATCCCAGGAAACACAGCCAGAGGGCTTCTGTTGTGGTCTCCATGACAGCACCTGCTGGGGAGGAGACCTGGTGACTCTGGGGCCTCCTCTACCATTTCAGGAGCAGCTAGAAAGGAGCCTGTCCAGCCTGGACTCTGAGTCCCTGCCTGAGGAACAGTAACACAGGGCAGAGTTTGTCACCCTCTGCCTTGCTGATATTTATCCATCCTCTGCTGGGGATGGAACCAGGACACTCCAAGGCCTGCAGTGCCTCAGAGCCATCCCTCTGCCTGCTGATGACTGGTGGGCTTTTCTGCTGAGCCCTGCCCTGTTTACAGCATGGTGTTTTACACCCCGTGCCTGCACCCCCCAACACCAGTAGGGACAACCAAAATGCCCCTTCATCTTCCAGGTCCTGGGAGAAAACAGTGTGAGCTCTACCTGTGAGGACAGAGAAGGCAGGGAGACTGAGGAATGAGGGGCAGTTAGGGACAGAGACGCCAAGACTGAGGCTGAACCCTGGAGCAGGGAAGATGGGACCCAGGCACAGATGTGTCAGGGTCACGAAGCTGAAGGAGACTGAGATGGAAATCAAGGTGCTCTCAGCGAAGTTTCAGGCGCAGCCCTGTGCCAGGCATCGCACTAGCAGGAGACACGTGGTGACTCAGTTTCACAGCCATCTCAGGTGCCAGGTCCTGATATTATCCCCATTCCATGGAGGGTGCAGACACAGACAGGCTGAGTAACAAATGGAGAGGGAACTAGAATCTGTGCTCTTAAAAACTCACAGGGACTGGGCACGGTGGCACCACCTGTAATCCCAGTGCTCTGGAGGCAGGAGGATCGCAAAGCCTTTGCTGTACACTGAGTCAAAGCGATGCTCTAAGGCAGAGAGGGAGTCACACACCCAGCGGGACAGAGACAGAAAGAGGCAGGAACTCAAAGGGCGGGAAGCACAGAGCAAGCCTTGTGCTGGGAGAATGCAGGGTTGCTCACCTGGCTTCAGCTTCTGTGTCTCAGTGTTCGGCTGTCCCGTGTGGGGCTGTGATCTGTGGGCTGCTGACTCTCAGAGCCTTGGTAGGTCTTATAAGGATTGGGATGGGGGCTGGCCTGCCCTGGGGCTGCTGGAACATTAGAGCTTGAGGGCTGAAATATTAGAGTTCTGGGCACAGCGCCCTGCCTGTGCTGCTTCTAGTCAGATCAGGGGGCAGGGAACAGGGCTCTGGGCTGTAAGGAAGTAGGGGAGTGTCGGGTGGGACCCTGCTGAAAGTGACTCTCAACCTCTCTTTCAGTTCTGATGCCTCCAATCCATTGCTCTTTGCTACCCTGAGCCTCTTGTTTCAGGGATGTTTGCTTTGGATTCTTTGCCTTTGAAGCTCTTTCCTGTATATTAAATCTACATTAAACGAAGCAAATGGACATGACATCAAGACAATCTGTATCTCTGTGTGTGTGGTCCTGGGGATTGGCTCCAGAATCTTCTCACAGAGCTCCATGCCAAAGCATATTTTTAAAATGTTATGTAGAGTCAGAGTTCCTTTATTTGGTCAAGTTACCCGTGCTGTGCTCAAACTTGAGATGCTCCTGCCTCAGGTTCCAAGAAAGCTGGGGTTACAGGCGTACCACACCACAGGCAGTGTATTTTTCTGTCCTAGGCATCTACCAGGCCTGGTGTGGCACACCCTACCCCCATTTCAGCCACACCAAAACCTAAATTTTTGAACATGCCAGGCAGGCTTGTACCTGCCTTAGTCTGTGAGCTAGCTATTCCCTTTGCCTGACGTCTCTCTGGGTCATTTTCTTTCTCCTCTAAAACCATGTGCAAGTGTGCAGGGCTCCCAGTGGCAGCCACATCTCACACACCCGCCCAGCCCCTCCTCAGTTCCATTCAGCTCAACTCAGCCCCAGCTCAGTGCAGCATTTGAAGCAGACCGTGCTGTGAAGGATGTGACCCGGGTCCCGCAGGCTGAGGGCTCAAGGCCTCAACAGTGACCCAGCCTGGCAGGCCGATCAAAAGCCCCTATTGTCACCTGCCCTCTGACCCTCCAGCCATAAATCTGTTTCTCTATCCAAGGCCCAGGCATCTGTTAGCCTGGCTCACAGAATGTGGGGAGACCCTGCACTTTCTGTTGTATTATTTAATAAAGGGCAGGTGAAAAGGTACAGCTCAGAGCCCAGGGACGAGGTCCAGGACAAGCCAGGAGGGTCACTGCACAGGCTGGGGCTGCTGTCCCCATGGAGCTGGGCTGGACCTTTGCCTCTCTGGGGACCCCAAGTGTTTTCAGAGGCCCCACAGGTGGGCCCGACTGGATCCTGACTCAATCTTCAGCCCTGTCCTCCCAGAGGAGGGGGAAGGGCCAGGGTCCTTGCCACGGCCCATCTTGCTGTGCTCCCTGAGAGTCTCCTCATTGTTCAGATATGCTCCTGTTGTCACTGCTCAGTGTGGGGACTTGCTTTAGAGATAAGGGGACAGCATGAAATTACAGGCACCAACCTTACCCGCAAGCTGTGAGGCGATAAGGAAGTTTTCTTTTATTTTTCCCTTTAATATCTTCTCTTTGTGTTGGATATCCCATGGTGTATTATATGTGTAGTTGAGGACCTTTATTATCATACTCTGCATACATTAGGCTGCTATAGTTACATTTGCCTGCATTTTTACCCTGGAGGTCAGCACCATTTTGTTCTCTGAACACTTCCCTTTGCAGGGCTCTTCCCCCCACCCCATGGTACCTGCTGGTGTGGGTCCTTGCTTTTGTGGTGATGGAAATAGAACAAAAACCACAGCATGAATGTTCATGCAAGGGCTTTAGTTATGAGTAAGAGAAGATGGTCAGGGCATTAGCTTGAGGCACTGACAAACATCAAATGGATCCTTTGATAAGGTGAGTAGGAGCAGTCAGGGCAGAGGCTTCCCCTGGAGAAAGGCCAGTGGCTGCCGGTCTGAAGAGCTGGGTCATCCTGGTACACGGGGGTGCTACGTGCTGGGGTCCTCCTGACCCTGATCTCCATCGTGGCTTCTTCAGTTGGGTTGAAGAACTGTGACCTGAGGGACAGGTTGATATGCATAGGATGACTTTCTTCTCTTCGGGTGGTCCCAGTCGGAGGAGGCTGTTAACCAAGGCGATCTTAACTTTAGGGGCCTGGAGATTTTCTCAGCATAGTTGACATCCTGGAAAATGTCTTATCCTGTTGTCCCAAGCCTTCAAGGGGTATGAGCTAAGCTGGGTAGATTGAGGGTAAGAAACCTTGTTGTGCCAGCTTTTTGAGAGCTGTGCTCTGACTGAGGCATGTGCCTCTATGCACAGGTGAGAAGGGTATGACTCAGAGTCTCACAAAGCAAAGATCGAGCTTTGCTTCCTTTTTGGTCCCCGTTGAACTGCTGGAGGCCCAAGTGAGGAGTCATCCATTTTAGAAAAAGCCACTTTGAAGTCCTCGACTGTCCCTGAAAAAAACCATGGATCATGCTTTTCATGAGTCACAGATTAAGGGCTGAGGGGTACATTTGTCCCAGGTCCCTGGGTTGTCCATGTCTCTCTCTTTCTCCTTCCCAAGTATCTCCACAAATCCCCTGGGTATCTGCTTCTCTCTCTCTCTCTGTCTCTCTCTCTCTCTCTCTCTCTCTCTGTCTCTCACTCGCTCTGTCTCCCCCCCGCTCTGTTTTGCTCTCTCTCTCTGAGTAATGTCTTCTGGCACATCTTGCATTTCACCAATATTCTCTTCAGCTTTGTCCATGTGTCTCCTTGTTTTTTGAGAGTTTAAAACCAGAGTTTTATGAGGATACCTTGAACTTGAAACATAGTGTTTTCTCTTTTATTTAGATTTTCTGTTCATTCCTGAAAGCATGTTGTGAGTTCTAGGTCAAATTTGTTCACACTCCTCTAATTCTCTCCCTTTGTTTTCTTCTCTCACTCTGGTTTTGAAAATCACAATGCACACAAACCATGCAACTGTTGTATGTGTGATGAACCCTTAATGTCCCTTTTCTGTCTTTAACAGTTACGTACCTTAGCTGTGCCCTATTCTGAATACAACAGTTCCTCTCTTGACCATTTTAAAACAGTAAATCTGCCAA